TACCTTAAAATAAATAATTTTTTAATAATTATTACATATAAATAATATTTTTAATACTTGAATTTATCATATAATATTTTTTTCAAATATAATATATTAAATTATAATATATTTTTGTTTTTCTGTCACTCCATCTTATTCTTCTAATTAAAAATACTATATTAAAATTTAATAAAATAAATATTTTACTAATTCTAAAAAAATAAAAATGTTTAAAGTAACTTTTTTAATAAATATTATTTTTTAAATTCCTAACATGACTAATAATCATAATTCAACTTGATTATAATTAGATTAAATTATTAAATAAAAAATATATTTAACTCATAAATAATTATGATAAAATAATTTTAAATTAAGTATTTATATTATAAACAAATTATTTATTATCATAGTAATTTTAAATAATTAGTTAATATTTTTTTTAGTTTTAATGTTGATTTTTTTTAAAAATTAGTTTAAGTTTTAATGAGAAGAATAAGTGGGAGATGAGAGAGAAAAATAGGAAAAGTGAGATAGAAAAGAAAAAAAAAGAGAATGAATGAGAAGAGAAAAAAAAATAGGAGATGGAAGAAAAATTATATATATATATATATATATAATAATAATAATAAATATGTAAATAAATTAATAAAAATTTTATTTAAGTATTTTTTAATTATATTATTTATAAAAGTGAGTCCTAAAATGATGAGATCGAAGATAGAAAAAAATGATATTTTAAGACACCATTCATAAATATGAGATTATTCATCTTCCAGACAACACTTATGAGATAATTCCTCTAATATCTCAACAAACTGGTAGGTAACTACTAGGCCAACAAGGAAGATATGTCATTTGAGATTGATTATCATTGAAGTTAGATCCTTGACTAGATATATGATTGTAGCTAAAGCTTTGATAGTTCTACCTGACTCCAGATTTTCAAAACAATGATTCATAAAATGTGATAGGTATTTTAGAGGTAGATTTAAATCAACCTTTTTCATTGATATACCTTGCACCAAACTTTACACTTACACTTCTAGATTTTGTTAACCACATAAGTCTAGAAGTACGAAGCCCAAAATCCAAATGAGCTTATTGTCAAAACACAACTTTATTTTAACACTAGGAACTCTTGCTTAGGATCCTCCGAATAATGCAAAATAGTTACCAAAAACTGCACTTGCCAAATAAAGTTTGTTATCCGAAGGGCGCAAATTGATTTGTCAACCTTCAAAAACCAATTGTATCGAGAGCTTCTGATAAGCCCTCAACTTCTGTTAGAAGCAGGATGCAACGTGACTACTTAGCTCATAGAGAACCTGAAACCAGGCTAGCTTAAATGAAGACTGTCTGAGATAAAGTCGGTTATAGCAAGAAAAGTGTTTACTATAAGATTATGAGATGACTGAATCTGGTAGAGTCGGTTAGACATCTCCTCATAAGCTTACGCATGAACGAAATTAAAGATAGAAAAGTAAAGACAGGAAAATAAACACACAAGTCCACGATAAGATTATGAGATGACTAAATCTGACAGAGCCGGTTAGACATCTTCTCATAAGCTTATATGAACACACACAAAGTAAAGTTGTACACAAATTTTTAAGCCTTTAAATGATTATCGCATCTTTTGATAAATACCGCTTAAGACATCCGAGGACGCCTTTATAAGAAAACTACTTCATAAAAGAGTAAAGAGAACTTACTCGGGAGAAGGGAAGGAGAAGGAGAGGGAAGATGCTGAATATGCTTCTCTTATTGATATAGTAAGAATTACATAAGAGAGAAGGAGGAGAGGAGGAGAGAAAAAGGAGAGGGAGAGAGAAGCTTTTGGAAGGAATGCTTCTATGAACTTTAGGATAAAACCTACAAAATCCCCATTTATGGCGGAGAAATACATAAAGTATGGGAAACAAGAGCTACCTATACTTACACATATCTACCAGTTTCCTAGTAGAGAAAATACAAATGTCAAATTAAATGTTTTAATTGACAATATTTGGAGTATTCCAAAACACACAATTCATAATGAGCATCAAGTTGCTAAAATGAAACAAAACATTATTAGGGAATAGAGAGAGCAGGAAAACCCCAGTATGGGAAAAACACTGCTCAGATACCAAGAGGAGACAGAACAGAGAAAACTGGAGATGAACCCAGAATAACCGAAGAGGAGGGAAAAGAGGAAAGTAACGGAAAAATAAATAAATCAAAACATGTTATAACTCTTTATCTCTTCTATAGGTCAACGTGACTACTTAGCTCACAGAGAATCTGAAACCAGACTATCTTAAATGAAGACTGTCCGAGATAAAGTCGCTTATAGCAAGAAAATTGTTCACTACAAGATTATGAGATGACTGAATCTGGCAGAGCCAGTTAGACATCTCCTCATAAGCTTATATAAACACAAAATAAAGTTGTACAAAAATTTTTAAGTCTTTAAATGATTATCGCATCTTTTAATAAATACCGCTTAAGGCATCCGATGACACCCTTATAAGAAAATTACTCCATGAAAGAGTAAAGAGAACTTACTCGGGAGAGGGGAAGGAGAAGAAAAGGGGAGATGCTGAAAATGATTCTCTTATTGATATAGTAAGAATTATATAAGAGAGAAAGAGAAGAGAAGGAGGAGAGGGAGATGGAAGCTCTTAGAAGGGATGCTTTAAACTTATGTATATAAATTAATTAATTTGGTTTTCCTTATTTAAAATTTTGAATTATGTTCTTATATATATATATATATTAAAACAAATTCTTATATATTTTTTTAAGGATTATCCTATAAATTTATTTACAATTTTCGGAAAAAGAATTTGAAAACCTTATAAAAACTTATCAAAGCTATCATATTTGGTGAAGTAATTTTTTGTGTGTGGAACTAAAACCAACTTATTATGAGCATAGTGATGTAATAATGTTGAAGTGGTTGGAAGCTCTGATGGTTGCGTCATGAATTAGCACCCAATCCTAAGGAATTGACAAAACCCAAATAATGACAATGATAATAAACACAATGCCTTGGAAGTGAGTTAAAAGTCTCCTCTTCTCACGCTTTATTTATTACCTTCACTTCACATAACCAAGTACTAGACTTAAAGAAAGCATCCTTGGAAAAAGGTTAACTGTATGATCAGAGGTGGAGGAGTAATGTGTAATGAGGTCACATTATTCACCCTGCCAACAAAACTTTTAACACACTGTCTATAACTACTGTTAAAATTTACTAAGACAATAATGTGTAATGTTAATATTTGCACATTGTAAAATTGTAAGCTAAGGAGGAGTTAGGCATGGATGGCTACGGACCCACCTGGGTTTTGTCTTTCTACCATCTCGATCCGGTTCCTGTTTTGGTTTCCGACTTAATCATTTCTTTTTTTTATTATCTATTTCTGTTAAAATTAAAAATTAAATTTGTATTCTTGTTTTCTACTTGTCCTTATTATATATTTTAAATAATTATATTTATTATAAACTAATTTTAACATTTTTATGTATTGATTTTTATATCTAAATAAATGTTTGTAATTTCATAATGTTAAATTTAAATTATTATTATTAATTAAATATATAATTTAATCTATTATATTTATATTAATATATATATATATATATAAATAATATTTGATATTTTTTATTTATATGAATATGAATAATTAGATTATTATTATTATTATTATTATTATAATATAATATAACCTTATATTCAAATATTTAATTATATATGTAAATTAATTATTTTTTTAGGTTGTTATTTTAAAATGATAATAAATATGAGATATATAATTTATAAAAAAATATTTAAAAAATTAATCTTTATTTAATTAGTATAAAATAATAAAAAATTTATTTTTTAATCATTCAAAATATAATTATTTACTTAAGATTAAATTTGATATATAAATAAAAATTATGATCTATCATAATCTAGTAAAGATAAATTAGAAATAAATTAATATTAAGTGTTACTAAAATTTATAAGATATAAAAGAAAAAAAAATTGTATTTATTAAATAAGTTAAAAAAATTTGAAAAATTAAAATAACAGAACAATTAAAAGAATATAGATATATAAAAAGTGAGAGAAAAAGAATAATGTATTGAAATAATTAATTAAAAATATTGAAAAAAATGAAAAATAGATAAGAAAAAAAGTGAAAAATGTAGAATATAAAATATACAAAAACGATATTATATATAATATGAAATACTTTAAAAAATTAATATTTTATAATTTAAATTTAAATAAAAAGTTGAGGATGATGTTATTTATTCTTATCCTGTTCTGAACTTTTTAAAATAGAAAAAAATCTAAATTCGCACCTATTAATTTGAATTTTTTTTGTCAAACTCGAAATATGAATGCTTTGGTCCCGTGTGGGAGTTTAATTGTCATGATAAGAGGAGTACATGAACAGGATGATTCCTGAGCAATGAATGAGCATAAGCAGAAGGGCCAAAGCAAACTCCAAAAAAGAAGAAGCCCTTTAATGATATGATCCCATGTGCAATGGGGGCACATTTAAACCCCAATTTGGTTGTCCCAAACTCAATTTCAAAGCTGCCATGAGTAAATGAAAAGGATGAATCAAAGAAGTGGACACGTGGGCCAGAACGAAGTAGCCACGTGAGAATGTCCATGAATCGATGCTTTGTAATTCAACATTTTCTGACACACCCTATCCAACCCAATGGATAATAGAAACTAACTAAACGTGTGGGAGAAGCACTGATCTAACTAGAGTGGCATGAATGAATGTCTCATGAAACTAAGTTAAAAAACTCAACAAGTTAGAGCATTGAATTGTACCCTCCGACACTCTGGTTTGTGTTCGTGTCTGCGTGTTGGCGTACAAACAAGTGAATGCTTTTGCTTGCCATCTACAACACTGCAATGCACAACTCATCATAGCCAAGCTCATATTCTCATACCATATTATAACAACTCATGTGAGTTCGGTGTTGAGGGGATGAATGAAATGCAAGCTTGAGTCGTTGGCATCATGAACAACACTAGGATTGTGAATCAGCATTATCACCGCAGAGGTCACAGCTTCAATGGCTTTGCCAGCATCCATTCCTTCTCCAACAACACAAACTCATCCCAAGGTCCTAACTAATTCCTCATATTGCTATGCTCATTCACTCAACAGCATTCTCTTCCATTAATTATTCCTATCTTTCAATGAGTTAAAAGTTAAGTGATTATTTCTTCATTATAAACTCAACTTGGTTGGTAAGTGTGATCACTGTCTGACTTTGAAATTTAGTGTCACTAATCACGGCTTTAATTATTTCTGGATAGGGAAACCCGGGAGACTTTCATTTGAATCAGCAAAATTGGCCTCAAGTGGGATTGATGATTTATTGTCATCCACCGAAGGAGGAAAGCATGACTATGATTGGTAACATTGCATTTCATTCTCCCTGATTTATTTTCATACTAGACATTATATTCATTTATCTGTGGGTAATCAGTTACTAAAGGTTTTTAGCTTTATACTAGTATCACTGTATAAGATTGTTACCAATATCATTGAGTTGATCTTCTTCCTTAAATTGGCCTAGAATTACTAACTACAATCATATTCCGATACAGTCTCGTGTTAGACTCAGATTTTTGTGAGTTGCAACAATTGAATGGCATAAATCAATTATCAAAAGCACACAAAAACCAAAGCTTGATTCCCAATTGCCCCTGTACCTTGCTACCTGCATTAGTAAAACAAGTAATTCAACGTGCACACCTTCTACAGTATTTATCATATCAACTCCTACATTGTTTGATCTGTCGGTAGTTGGCTTGGCTTCATGTTTCCTCACCTTTTGAAATGACAGACTGCATCTTCAAATAGTTCTATATATTTATAAGTTATCACCCAAAAATGAAAAATGCTACCATCTTCCCAATGTTGGCACATGCATTTGTTATTTTTTTTACTTCATTTGTAACTATTGCTATTGTGTGATATAGGCTCCTTACTCCCCCGGAGACCCCTCATTTAGCATCATCTGAAGGAGTATCCCAACCAACTGTGGTGCCTTCAAGAAGGAGCTTGGGTAGACCAATGTCAAGCACTAATGCCTCGAGGGTATGCTCCTGTAATAAATACTCATTTCCCTTCATTGCATAGGCATAAGCACACTGATTTTCATAGTTTTTTCAGTGCTTTTATTTGCTTAAAAATTAGTTAGTGCTATATCAACATGATCAAGCAATTCCGGCAAGATAATAGTTACCAACCTTAAGCAAAGAATTGGCCTTTTGTTAATGTCGTGCTTATTACTTACTTAGTGCAGCTTCTGTACATGCCTTTGGCAATCCACCGGTCCCTTTGAGTAACTTCAACTGCACTCCAATATGCTATCATTGAATTCATGTTTGCTTTCAACTCATAAAAATTAAATTCAAGCATACTCAATCTCTCAAAAGAACAAGACGATGCATCATTTGTGATAATTACTTGGGACTTGTTTGAATAAACATTCCAATAAACATTTATAGAAGATAGGAAAGTAAAGTTGGCTCCTTCTGAATTCTATATCCACTTACTGTTTCTTTCTATAGCTTTGAAACACAAACTGGTATTCTAATATTATATGGACACATCATAAAAGAATGATTCAGCTAGTGTTGTCATGCATAAATTCTTAAAACAATACATATCTTTCAGCTTTCAGTTTCACAATCAGAGAACAATAACAATCACTCTCACTCAAGACCAACAAGAAGTGGTTCAGTGACTCGCAATCCAAACAGATCCTCCTCCATCATTAACACAAGGCCATCCTCTCCCATAACCCGCTCCCCATCTGCAGCAAGGCCTTCCACTTCAACCTTACGTCAAACAACAACATCAACACCCCCAAGAGCACTTTTACCACGCTCACTTCCCATTTCTACAAACTCATCATCATCATCTGACATCAACAAAACTAGAACATCACAAGGCTCAAGGCCATCCACTCCAATTTCAATTTCAAGGCTTTCCATTCCTGCCAACTTACATTCACCATCTACCACTTTACGGTCTCCTTCACGGCCCTCTACACCCTCTCGACGCCATTCGCTTCCATCTCCATCACCTTCAGCCACACGTGTTGCACGCAATTCAGCTAGTCATCGTCCCCAGCCAATTGTTCCACCTGATTTTCCTCTTGAAACACCACCAAACCTCAGAACAACGCTGCCTGCTGATAGACCTGTCTCTGCAGGAAGGTCTCGTCCTGGTGCTGTTGTTACTCTTCCTTTGAAGCCAAACTCAGAAATGCAAGCCCCAGCTGTTACCATGTCAAGGAGACAGCCATCTCCTATTGCCAATAGGGGGAGGCTCTCGGAGTACACATCAAAAAGCCGTGTCCATGCCAATGCTACTGATGCCTCTGATGTAGTTGCTAGGAAATCTGTTAAGTCGTCAACTACTGCCACAGAGAACAATGGTCTAGGGAGGACCATCTCAAAGAAATCATTGGATATGGCTATTAGACACATGGTATGTCCATTTCTGCAATCACAATTTCACCTTACATGTCTTGTATCATATAATTGTTCATAATCCAACACAATACTTATCCAAGATTAAGTATTTCATATAACTTGTCCAAGACCCATATGTAATAGTTGAAAAGCTTAAGTTGACTTCTGAGAGAAACTTAATTCATTTTATGTGCTTGGAAACAAGTTGCGCAAATAAATTTTCACCCCTAGTTATTTTCTTCTTCTCAGAGTGCTTACTCAGAAGTTAATGCTAGCCTAAATGTTCAACAATGATTAATGGTTTTACATGAATTCTGCTAGTCGTCTTTTACCTTAATCTTAACTTCTGTGTACCTTGGAGTATAATGGTGCAATGTCTTCTCTTATTATCCTGAATGATATTCAGGCTAGTTTATTCTTTGAAATTTATTCAATTAATGAACCTTTTTAATTCAGGATGTGAGGAATGGATCAGGAACTCTTCGTTCACTTTCAAGTGCCACACTCTACCCTCAGAGTATTCGAACTTCGACTCACAAGACACACCACAGTCGAGGTTTAAGTGTTCCATCGTCAATGAACATTAACGGAAGCCTCCAAAGCAGAAACAATGGACACAACACTACTAGGAAAAATGGAAGAGAGAAAAGTGAAAGGCAAAAACAATACATGGGAAAATTGAGTGAAGTGGTGGATGTGTACGAGAGTTATCCTTATGATTCACTATTGCTTAAAGAAGATTTGAACAACACAAACTGGTTGCATAGCGTTGATGAAAAATGTGATGAAGGACCTATCTTTGATATTGGATTTGAGTCCCTGCCAGAACCTTTTGGACTCTATTAGCATTTCACTGCTTATTTCTCCTTCCCACTTCAATCTTAATTATGGTATCTCAAAAGGTGAGGAAATGAAGATGTTGTATGAAATGTATGGATTAACTTGGATCTTACAAGTTATACTATTGAAAAATTTATCTTCACAAAAGTTTGTTTGTATAGAATTTGTTTATATCTCAGTATGATCACTGTAAAAAAAGTAGAAATTGCCCTTTGAATAAAGATATTTCCACTGCATCTAGGTAAGGTAAAGATGGCAGAAGAAATATCACTGGATTTATTTGTCACACTACAAGTTCTTACCTCCTTTACTATTCTTTCTAAATAAGAAAGAGGATATTTGAAACTTGAAGCAAGTCTTCTACTTGTATGAAGACTGGTTTAGGGACTTTTAATTTTCTATAACTACTTTTAGAAAAGAAAATTAAGAGAAAAACAAAATTTAAATGAGTTTCTCCAAAAAGTATAATTAATTTATGCATAAGAAAAATTAGAGAAGTTGTTTTATATAGTTTTTAATTTTTTTTAACTTGTGTATGTAAACTAATTTTAGTTTATGGAGAACTTTATTATATTTTTTCTTCTTATTTTATTTTCTAAAAGTTTTTAATGTTTGCAAATTTGATGAATAATGTATTTGCTAGCGTTAATTCTTGTCTTTATCCAATCGAATTATTGAAATTTAATTTTTTAATTGATAAAAAATGAAAATACATGAGGTAATATCAAGTCCACTTAATTTTTTCATAAAATATATTAATATTAATATTATGTATAGTCAAATTATAAATTAAAAGAAATTTAAAACTTTATATTTTACATACATATTTATCATTATACAAAATATATAGGAAATTATTAGAAATACATAATTTTTTTGAGAACTTATATCTTTTTATTAGGGTTTGGATTTTTGAAATGAAATACTCAAATGTAAAAGAAAAAAAATTACACGAAATATATATATATATATATATATATATATATATATATTATTTTATTTTTTGTTTCTCTACTTTTATAAATTTGAATTGAAATGGAAGAGAGGACCTATGTGTACACTTAGGGTGCACAACACACCCTCTTACTTTGATAAAATTTAAAATAAATATTTAAATTTTTTACATTTAAACTCATATATAGTTCCACAATATTTGTGTTTACATTACAAGGTTTATAATTTTTTATTTGTTATAAATTTTTAATTCATAACATATTAAACTGAAATCATTCAAGTGAAATTACTAATATTAAATAAGTGTTTAATCAAACTATTGAAAAACTTGTAAGGAGATTTCATCTATAACGAAAACAAGTATTTAGGGATTAGTTATTGACTTTCCAAACATTGAAATAGCATAAATTTAGAATTAAAAGAATCAAATAACGAATTTTTATTGTTTTTATCATTTTAAATTTTTTTAATAGATAAAAATAAAACTGTAATAAAATAAGAAAATATTATTGAATTATTAAAAATTTAAGAAAGTTCAAAATTTGAGATAACATCAGGATAATATAAATTTCTTAAAATATATGGAGTGGAGGTGGAAAAATATGTGGTGTAGAAAGCAAAATCAATTATATTAATCAAAGGAGTCCATTCATTTGGCCCAACAAAAATAGATCTGCAATGGACATGAGTAAGAAAGCGTGTTGGGTCAACCATTTTATTTGTTAACAAAAAAAAGTATAAGATTTTTATTTAATTTTTATTTTATATTTGATGACCAATGGTGTCAATTCCATAAGAAAATAAAAAATAAAATAAAATTATAACCTAAATTAAAATAAGATATGTTTTGGGTCAGTTTAAACTACAGTTTAGGTATATTTGTGCAAAGCTAAAACGTGAACTTATGGATTAATCTATTTTATAAAATAAAATTTTTTAAATAAATAAAAATAATAATATTCATTTGTTATATATATATATATATATATATATATATATATATATATAAATTAATTTGATGAGATATTTCCATGATTAGAATAAATATTTAAGATTCAATTATTTTAAAATTTAATAATGAAGATGAATTATTATTTTAAATTATTAAAATAAAAAAATATTAATAATAAAGAAAAAAATTTAATTCTTATTTTTCTCTAACTTAAATAAGGTTATTAACTTAATATAAATTAAATTTTAATTATAATTATTTTTATATGAATTTTGAATTAGACTGAAATTATTAATTTATGGATTATATAGTTAAATATCACGAGTCAATCATAAAATAACATAACATCGTCTATATCTCAAATAAATATAATAAAATTGTGAATTTTTATAATATTTATATTATTTATCTTACTTATTTTAATATAATATAGGACTTCTATCTCACTAATATTAACAAATATATTTTTAATATGAATAAATATCAATAGTTTTACTCATCAAATATCAATATAAAAATAATACGTAAAACCATATTTTAAAAAAATTTAAATTTAAATTAAAGTTGTTTATTTTATGAAAAAGGAAAAAATGCAATAAAAAGAATAAAGTACAATACACATTTATGCTTGTGGATAACGTGGTGGAAGACTTGGTAGTGAGTCGTCTTCAAAGGTCAAAGGTCAAAATTCATTGGCATTCATATTTCGTATTTCATATTCACACCTTTTTTATTACTTCTCTGCAAGGAAGCAACTGATTTAATAATTAATAATGAGCATTTATAAATGTGTAATTTCGTAAATTTTCAAAGTCATTGTCAATATCATTGTTAATTTGATGAATTGAATAATATCAATTACGCATTAATTAACTACTATAAATAAGTAGTCATGTCTGAAAATTAAATGTAAAACCTTTTGTAATGGGAACCAAACAGGCATTTATTTATTGACCTGTCAAGTAATGAAACGCTTTATCTTCCCTTAGCTATATGCCTCCATTCACTGTTCACCGATTCAATTGAAGTCACGGTTCCTTTCGCTCCAATCTGCCAATTAGGTTTTTAATTATTTATTTTTCAACAAAGGTCGGTTTTTTATTTTTATTTCATTTTTTCTCTAAAATTGAAGTTTTGGGATTCTTTCAATCAGATTCCTATCCGGTTTCACAATTTGTCCCTTTAGTTTTGGTTAATTTTTCATGGGTTTCTTTTTCTTTCTCGTGAATGGATGGAAAGTTGTGCTATTAGATGCAAGAGATCTTGTGGTTTCAGCTGCTAAAGCAGCTTTCTGAATGAAATGATGGGACCCACTTTCATCATCTTCTTCATCATATGATTGTAGTCATTAAATTTCCTTACTTTGTTTTTTTTTGTGATGAATACTTGGTTTAGTTTTGAGAATTTTAGGTTGGAAAATCGTTTCTAAGTAGGCATTGTAATTCTCATGTTGGCTCCCTTCACTCTTTTTATTGTCATTCTTACACTACTGTGATTGCCAGACTAATTCCCTTGTTTTGTCTGAGTTACCTGTTGTTTGTTGTCCTTTCTCTTCGAGTTTTATGGATTTTGAGAGATTTGTTGTGCCGAAATTCTGTTTGCAGGGTTTAGTTTATTGAAGTTTTGCAGTCTCGTGGCATTGAAACAATTACATGGGGAATTGTTTGCATAAGGTGAGCATATATGTATACTTCAATTGTTATTCTCATAGGAACATGAAAGAAAGCCTGGGATTTTCCTTCTGCTCTCTGATAAACTGTGTTTTCTTAGAACTGATCACATGCATGGTCTTAATTTTGAATGTGTCCACAGCGGTTTTTTCTCCCCTCTTTTATAGTTTATGACTTATGAGGATAGTAGTGTAAGGAAGCCCCACTGTTGCTACTTGAACTGGTGGTATATTTCTATGGCTTTTTTGTTTGGGGGCAAAACAAAGTTATTTTCTTGCCACTTGTGGTCCTAAATTTTACATCTTCAGTATGCCTTCCTGGATTGCTTTGTAAGTAATCTTTTGCAGATAGATTAGAAAGGAATATCAAGAAACCAGAAATGGAGAGACGTAGCAACTAATGTGTGAATTGCTGATAAGTAATTATTATAAGCATGCTCAATTGTATTAAGGTATCTAAATATCAAACAGTGATCTCTATTTCAAATTATGTCATAGGAATGGACAACTAGTAGTGATATTAGTCAGGCCTAGCGGTAGCAGATGGTGTTATAGTTAGAGACAAACAATTTAAGAACTAGAGGGCAGGCCTAATTTGCTACCTGCTGAAACTATATTCATTGATAGAACGAGAATACAACTCCAATATGATGTAACCTAACCAAAGCTCCTCTGAAAGTCGTAACTTTGTTGTTTATTTGGTCAATCTATATCAAATTGCCATAACTTGTGAATATGGATAGATACAAGAATAAAAGTGATATTAACCGAAGGTAACAAGCAACGATTGGATTAAAATATAACATGTTCTATCAAAAGAGAGTTCTGTTACATTCTGTTAAAGGCCAACTTATATACATAGAAGTTAAAGCTGTTAATGGTTTTAGATTCTAGCACACTTTGTATGTAAAAACCCATTGTAGTTTACGTTTGCATGGTTCTTATACTGGTGATATTCAACTTTATGTAGAAGAGATGACAAGGTTTAAACATAATGTCCATTTGGTTACAACACTATGTAAATGACCTACTTTCTAAGAGCTTAAGCTATTAGGTACTTGAACTGTAGCCTAAAAGTTTGTCCTTCTTTCAGCTTAGTATCTTCCTAACTTTTCTTTCCTCTTCAGTTGTCTCTATTACTGGTCAGGGAGAGAGGGGGGAATGCTTCTAAAACAGTTTTGTACATAACAGCTCATATCTTTCATTAAATTAGATTTAATGTGTAGTTTGGTGTTTCTAATCTTTGCAGGGTAATTGTAATGATGGTGATTCTGATCATCATGTGGATTTTGCTTCTGGGAATGTGCAAATTATTACTACCCTAGAATCTTGGAACCAAAATATAGAACGAGCAAAGAAGGATAGTAAAATTGTAAGCTTTACTTCATATTTAATTTGTAGCACAATGATTTTAAATTCTGTCTGAACCCTTTATAATTTACTGTATTTAACGGAGCATGTGTGTAGTTGGTAACACGAGTAAATCTGTGTGTACAGATATTGACAGTAAAGCTTCACTGATCTTTTTGTGAACCTTTGGTAAATAACCTTAGAAAAAAAGTTCTCATTGAATACAGTACAGAAACTGTAGTTTCCACAATGCCTTTTTCTATCATGCTTCTGATGATTAGAGAATGGTTGAGGCTATATGGGTTTAGGTAGGGAAAGGGGATATTGAGACTTCGAATAATATTTTCAATGAGTACAAAATACAAGAGGCTACACCCAAGGGAAATACAACCAATAAAACCATAAATTAGGAAAAAAAAAAATTAATTACAAATAATGCTGAGTATACTGAATATACACCAAGTATTTGACTTCATTAATTATGCTAACACAATATGCATACTCGGATTTGGAATCAGGGTATTACTGATTTCTTGTCATTCGATTCAACAATACATTTGAAAGGACAGTCCATGCTAGTAGAAATTGATAGACACAAAAATGATCCACTAATTTGGAAGAAATAGCTACTGACAATATTTAGAAACACCAAGGAAACACTGAGCAGTTTGCAGTAGCTGAAGGAAGAAGACAACTAGTCAGTCATTCAATGATGCATAGCATCAAGTCTCCACAGAAAGCTTAACCTCTCTTTCCCAAAAGCTAATTAACTGAATGTGCACCCTTTCCTTCACATACCCTCCCATCACAAGCACGTCTAACCTCCTACATGTTAATTACCTGACCAACACCCTACTGATCAGGATTGATTATCTTGTCTTTTAAAGAGATCCTATAATTTATTCTTAAACTTTGCTAAAGGATATTATTACCTTGTATTCTCAAAATTGGCCTGAGGTGGTCCTATCATTTACACTTGAACCTTGTGTTAGGAGAATGAAATTGTATCTTTGAACTTGATTATAAATGACTAGTTCATTAGTTTAAAATTTGTGAAGATTTTTTTCATAAAGCATATTTTTCTGGACATGCTTTTGAACCCATAGATGCTGTCCACATCATCATTTCTCCAGAACATGATGTCTGCCCGTTTCAGATCCTACTCTTAGAAATTTTCTCTCCATACAAAATGCACATGGAGATATTTTTGGAGTTGACTACCCCTCCCATTCTGATAAAATATGTGATAATTTACCCCATTTTCTTCATGGGTATACTTTATATCCTTTGGTGCAACAGTTCATTCTAAAGCTTCATGTTTGACAGGTTATTGCAAATTTCAGTGCAACATGGTGTGGTCCTTGTAAGATGATTGCTCCTTATTTCAGCGACTTGTCCCAGAAGCACTCTTCTATCATGTTCTTGTTAATTGATGTGGATGAACTAGCTGTAAGTAGAGAAGTTACATATATTATTATTTTTTATTATTTATTTGAAGCAATATATATATATATATATATATATATATATATATATATGTTAACTAGTATTGCCCTTACATCAACATAAATCATTTAGAAGTTTCTTCATTCAGCAATTTTTTACTTCGACCCAGCACACTAGGCAACAGATCAAGGATCAAAGATGAAAGTTTCTAGTATGATGATGTAGTTTATTCCTGGTGGATGTTATGGGGACTAAATTGTTGTCTTGTCCTAGTGTGACCTTAATGAACGTGATTTTGTTGCAGGACTTCAGCACTTCCTGGGACATCAAAGCCACACCAACTTTCTTCTTTCTTAAAGATGGAAACGAGTTTGACAGACTTGTAGGAGCCAACAAATCAGAGCTGGAGAAGAAGATTGCTGCGCTTACTGATGTAGTTCCTCATTAGGAATAGTGATTATTGTTTATATTTGTGCAGTATGTATTCTGCATTTTAACTGTGACATTGTCATTGTAAATATACGACCTTCCAAATGTATGTTTGGTATTCAAAATTTCAACTTGAAGTTGCTGTTATCTTTGAAATATAAAGAATCGATGTGCTTTATAGTTTACAGAATATTGATTTGAGTGATTATTTATTGTCACCGGAACCCCCTTTCACAAGTCACACTCCTCCTTCGCTTTCTTAAAACTATCCAACTATGTTTCTGAGCTTGTGGAATCTGGAGGTTGCCATATACACAGAACAATATCCAACAACTAAAACCCCGGATAGAACAGTAAAGTATCGGTTCACAATAAAGTGTTGCTATTCAATCTTCATGTAAAAGCTGGGTAATTTATTTTTTCTGAAAGTAAGATAATTTCATTAACAAATATCCCATGTTAATTATTTTTATAAAATTATTATTCCAACTTATTTTATTCATAATTTTAATCTATAAATTATATTTTATTTATTTTTACACTTGATATTTAATATTATTTTTATTTAATCTTTCAATTAATTTTATTTTAAGTTGTTATATATTACCAAAATAATAATATATTTAAAATTGTAAATTGTTAAAATAGACTTAATTTTATCCGATAAATATGTTAGATTAGATAAAATATCTGTTGGCTAAATGATTCAGACCTTTGAGTCAATATTTATAGTTTATGATTATAAATTTACGTTAAACTACGATTTTTTTATAAAATAATAATTAATTTTTAAATAAAAATTAAAATAATATTATTTTATTAAAAATATATATATATATATATATATTATAAATTAATTTTATATTTGACTTTTTTTTATAATATAATAATTATTTTTAAATAAAAATAAAAATAATGTTATTTTATTAAAAAATATATATATTATACATTAATTTTATACTAGATCTATTTTGTTAGGAGTAAATAATAGAATAATTTTGTAATCATCCTTATTTCAAGGTTTAATAATTAATTATTATTTTAATTAATAAATTATTAAAAAAATAAATAATGATAAAAATATTTTTTTTAATTATAAGTATTTTTTATAATTTATATATTAAATTATTTAATAAAACTGATTTTGTTATTATAAATTTAATTTTTAAAAATGTATTTTATTTTTGTTTGAATTTTTTTTAATTTTTTACCATATTAAAATTAGTTCGTAATTTTAGTATACGGTAAAATTAGATTAAAAATTATGATTTATTTTAAAATATAAATTAAATTAAGATATTAATTTTTTTTACTTGTAGGATAAGGTAGACCTAGGTAAGCTTTTGACAGTTGTAGAAATTGAATTTAAAATAATATTATAGTTTAAATCATAAAAATATTATTATATTTAATTTAAATTTAATCGTTCTTTTTAAGTTCTGGTAAATCATGGCGTCCCTAAAATGTTATTGTTATTATTTTAATATGAACATTAGGCATAATAAATATTTTTAATATTATTAACATTTGTTAAAATTAAATCTTTTTTATTCAAATTATATTATAATGCTTAGCTGTATGAATGAGGCAGAGAACGGTGAGCGGGTTCAGAATTGAGGGAGAATGAAGCAATCGAAGGATCCGTTCGAAGCCGCGTTCGAGGAGTCACCGCCAGAATCTCCGACGGAGACAGAGGGGGAATTAATCCACAACCATAGCCATAACCCTACTCCTTCTCCTTCTCTTCTACCCCTCAATCCACGCCCTCCTCAGAAGCCCACTGCGGTGGTCAAGAACAAAGACAAGGACAAAGACAAAGACAAAGACAAGGACAAAGACAAAGACAAAGACAAGGACAAGGACAAGGACAAAGACAAAGACGATGAGGAGGAGGAAGAAGAAGACAACATGGACGTCGAGCTTGCCAAGCTCCCTTCCACCGGCGACCCTCACAAAATGGCCAAGATGCAGTTCGTAACTCTCTTCACTTCAATTCAATTCAAATTCATTCTCTTTTTTCTTCTTTACCAATTGCTCCCCTTTTTCTTCCCCAGGGCAATTTTGTCGCAATTCAGTGAAGAGCAGATGAGTAGATACGAGTCCTTCCGGAGGGCTGGGTTTCAGAGAGCTAATATGAAAAGGGTATGTAGCCTTCTTCTCTTTTTGTATTTTTCATATGGGTTTCATTGCTTGGCTTCCTGTGCCAAATATAAATAATTAACAACTGCTGTTGTTTTCGATTGCTCACTTTCTCAAGATGTGTGTTTGAATTCACCTTGTGTCATTTTAAACCACCTTGAAGTACAGTTAATGTGATTTTAGGTACATATTCACTTGTTTGATTAACATTAACTGATGTCATTTTGAGGTGTATATTCACTTGTTTGATTAATACCAGCTAATGTGATTATAGGAAAATTGTTCACCTGTTGAACTTCGCGTTAAGGAACTGTGAAATGGATTAATTTTGAGTTGAAGCAACTTTAATGTTTTTATGTTGGATAAAAAATGTTATGCTGATTTTTACTGTAAATGTCCTTTTGGATTTGAATTTCGTTTGTTTTCATGGGAAATTGAAACAAGAACCAAATTACATTGATATTCGTGATGTTTTTTCGTTTGGATTTGGATTTTTTTTAAATGTTTAGAGTAACTTTCTTTGCATGGTGTAATTGTTCCTTAATGGTCTTTCTATGTAATGTGTTTCGTGAGTAATGTATGGATGATCTGTTTTAACATTTGTTGTAACCTTCCTTACAGGTTGCACTGTGTAATGTGTAATGAATTTTAAACAATTATATACAAGAGGAGTAGTGTAGGGTAGGGATTAGAAAGGGAGATGTATCGGGTAAACTTGATAAAATATCAGGGCTGTGTAATTTACTCTTGAAGTGAAGAACCAGTATGCATGGTTGTCAAACTTTGGGGTTAACTCTTAAAGTCAGACGAGTTTACGAGTCTACTTCTTAGCCACAAGTCAACTCGTGTGTAAACTCTTATTTGGGTAAACTCGAAGTAGACTCTATACACTTGGACCAGACCCCCGAGTTTGGTTCCGAGTCCATGAGTCTGGGTAAATCTATTTTTTGGCACAAAAGAACTTGTAGATACATTGTTTGGGTGTCGTGTTTAGGTTTGGCACAAAAACGAAGAGAATGTTGTGCGTGTATAAGTTTTGCTTTCGTTTTGTGTCAAAATCGTGTTTTTGCTTGCATTTCCATTTTTGTTTCTGCCGCTGTTTGCAGTTGTATCGAAGAGGTTCTGTCCTATTCGTTCTCTCCCACATTGGTTCTCTCCTACTTTTTATTCACAGCTCTGTCTATTTGTTTTATTTTATCCTAATCTTAATATTGGTTCTATTCTAGCCTCCTTGTGTTGTTGGTTAGTTCTGTTTGGTCTTAAAAATAGTTTTTCTGTTTCATTTTGGGTTCATTGAGATAGAGGGGCTCTACTTTTAAAGTGTCAAGTAGAAATGTTTCAGGATATAGAAGGAATATTAGGTGGAAACATGGCGTAGATGTTTAGGCAATAGTACCGTGATGCTTACAATTTTTTTTTTAAATTAGTATGTTATTTTTTACATGAAGGAAACTCTTATAAGTCAAGTTTACATACCTCTCACGAGTCTACATAGATTTTTGAGTCTAATAACCTTGCCCGTATGATTTTAGATTGGTGTCTTGTTGATGAAGTCATTTTATCTGGGAATCAAAAGAAAATCGTATCACAGATAGGTTATCAAAATCGTTGCATCAAACAATCATAAAGAGATCAATATGCTCTGCCGTAATTCATGAAATAGATCATCTATCAGAATTGAACCTTTATGGATTAGCCCAGTAGGATAGTTTATCTGTTGGTTGAGGAAAATTAATTTAATGTCAAGACTCATCAAGGATTAACTTATACCACCTTAGACAAGACATTGTCAAATGTGAAAAGTTTATATTGTCAAATTATTTACAGTTGGACTTTGTCCAATTCTTAGCTGATTTAGGTAACCTTCTTTCAATTTTCTCCTTGGTTATTAGCTTAGTGTGTGCATGCTGCTTCTTTTGGACTCAACTCATATATTTGCTGTTGTTTACAGATCATCATTTTTTGCATCCAAATTTGCATTAGTAATTTATATATTATAACAAGATTGCTGAAATTTCTCCTCTGCCCAATCAGTTATTGGCTAGTATCACTGGGACCCAGAAGATTTCAGTGCCAATGACTATTGTAGTATCAGGCATTGCAAAAATGTTTGTTGGTGAAGTTGTTGAAACAGGTAAGGCTAGTTCTCCTTTGCAAGTTTGAGACTCTAAAATCTATCATTGCAAAATGCAAACAATTAGTCGATGCAAGCGCAAATTTTGCAGAATTCCAATTGTTATTAATGAATTTTGTACTATATTTTGCAGCTAGAATAGTTATGAAAGAGAGGAAGGAATCTGGACCAATTCGGCCTTGTCATTTGAGAGAAGCGTATAGGCGACTAAAACTTGAAGGAAAAGTCTTTAAGAGATCAGCATCGAGGCTCTTCCGGTAAATGGACCAATATTATGCATGATATCGCTACTTTGCAATACGTAGATTCAATGTTGTAGTCAGTATCTATTTATGATTTACAATCTAAAAGTATTCACATTTCTGTGGCTCAACTACCATTTTATCTTTCTTTCACACATTCTCTACCTTCTGAGTCAGCTATCCATTTAATTTTCTTAATCATAACTCGTTAGTTATCAAATGAACTGAATGTCTGCTCTTAAGATTCAAATTAAAACTAAGAACAATTCTTATGGTGAGTTTCCAAAAGCAATTTCATATATTTTTCACAGCTTTCAATAACAGCACATCATTTACATTACTTTAAAGAAATTATCTAATTCCTCTAACTTATCAAAGCATTTTTTGTGGTACATAACCCATTTTTCTTTTATAAAAAATAAAACTGGTTTTATCAAATCAAAACTACTTATGATTTGATTATAATATCCCCTGTTATACATAATTATTAAATGATTATTCTTATTTTCCTCTCTTTTTTCTCGTTTGTCATAAAAAAAATATTTATGGTTAAGTAAGGATTCTTCTAACAATGAGGACAAAAAATATAATTAAAGAAACACTTAATTAAGACAAAATAATGCAAAATTAACTGAGGAAACCCGAATCCAACATCTTTAGTAATAGTTAGAGAAGCTAACTAAAGTAGAAATGCAAGCTTGCTTCGTTTAAACTAAATAAAAGGTAGCATGTGTCCATCACTAGAAAAATCCACTAAAAAATTCATGAGAGCAACAAGAAATTAAAAAAAAAAAAGAATAAAAATATATATGCAATGGCCCAAAAAGTTGCAATCTGAACATGCTTTGAAACTCAAGAAATACATACATTTTGCAAGAATGTGGTTCAACAGTGACAGTCATTTTACCCACGAATTATCCTTTCATTGTGGTGCTGCATGCATTACAAAAGATATATTACATCATCACTATCCAATAAGGTTCTAACAGGTTACTTACTTCAAAAATAACGCAGAATTTGTGATTAAATTATTATTTTACCTCCCAAAGGTCTCTTGCTTCAACAACAGTTGAAGGGTCAAAGCCAATATGTTCCCATTTAGCAGTAATAAATGCATGTCGATCGATGTATTTGTTGAGTAAGAGAACAGCACCCTGTATTCTGAAAGAGGACCTTCTCAAACCTGATTAAAAAGCACATTTCAATGATTATTAGTTATTTTCTTTCTTATTCAACTGCATGTGTACATTACATGGTATAATAGCAACAACAACTTACCTCAAGAGAACCTTCCATCCTAACCTTTTTACCTTGAATACCAAGTGGATCTAAAATTGGAACAAAAACATATTAAAAACCACACACAGAAAAAGGCTATATTAGCTTAATGCACAATCATGAGGACCATGTTAAGCTTCTCATCACCTTGGTTCTGTATTGATAGTTTCTCTACAGTGTCATCGTGCATATTTGCAAGATCACCACAGCCAACTAGAAGATGAGCCTGCAATAACTCTTTGCATGAAAAACAGAATCTATAAATACAGAGTTTATTTTTTTAGAATGCACATAGTAAGATGAACATAAAAGGGATACTCTCATTACCATTCCAACCACCAGGTTTTGCAAAATCAGCATAAACTTTATTTGCGTCTATCCTTGAAATCATACTGCCAAAAATGAATAGTTACATTAAAGTTTCTACTACTTCTAACCATAATCCAAACTGTTACAATTTCTTTTGTTTTATTTTTACCTTTTTCAGTTATCATTGACGTCATCAGTAGTTCTCCAGCTATTACCACTGGATAACCCCATAATGCAGGGTGCATGTCTCCCCTATGAACAAAGCACATGAAATTAGAGGGGAAATTTTTAGTGCAAAATTTGAAGACAAAAAACATTATAAAGATAAACAAAATTACCATTCACATAATGAGAAGTAGATTGAACAACCTGCCTTCATCAGAGCTCGAGTCATAATAGGATATCTATATATCTTAAAAAAAGACAACAATTTTCACTTTTAAGTACGAGGATAAAATTGAAAAATAACCATAACAATGCTATGAAAATATAACTAGCTTTTACTACCTATCAAGAGGCTTCATTTCACCATTGTTACAATTATCATACTTGAGATAATCAACACCCTGGAAAAAAAAAATTAAAATAATAATAATTATAACAGTTTACTCAATAGCATCTATTAAGGAAATTAAACAGAGGAATGTTAGCGCCATTCTTTCTAACACTCCCTTTGTTGTAAATCATAAATTTTCTGAAGTCTTGCCCCTTGCATAATTAAGCTCTAACGCCAATGTAAATCACACATCTTTCTGAAATCACAAATGTTCTGATAATAATGGTTTTTTAAGTATGTTATTTTGGATTTTTTATGTTTATTAAGTTCTAACACCAATATAAAAGATATAAATTTATCTCAGAGTAAATAACTGATGTAATATTATGTTGATCCTCTATAGCATTAATATTAATTTACGTCAAATTGATAGAGGATCAAACTTATAAGAGTTTGATAAATTAAAAAAAAAAAAAACAAATTTACATTGGACAATACTTCAACCAATGTAAATCTATGTCTGTTAGCGTAAGATCTGATGTAAATTTACGTTAGGTAAGCTACCGCTAGACATGAATTTTCACTACAACATAAAAGACATGTAATAGCGGTTTCACATGTTCTATAATAGCAGTTAAAAACGTTATTAAATGAGACGCTAATAAAATAATGACGTTTAGATAGCGGTTAACTAACCGCTATCATAAATAAGATATAATAGAAGTTAACGTAGAACCGCTATGCAAAGTTATATTTATAATAGCGGTTGAAATGATGAACCACTATTAAAAAAATGACATATATAATAATGGTTAAAACGACAACCGCTATCTAAAATATACTTTTAATAGCGGTTAGTTCTAGAATCACTCTCTTTTAGTATGCTTAGATAGCGGTTATGGAAACTGTTATCTAAAGTCCCAATTAAAAAAAATAATTTTATTTAAATTTTAAAATCCAAAATTTTTTCCTGATAATTTGTACCTGATAGACCACAATTTCATGGTATATATCAAATTAATCCAACAAAATCCAGCCAGCATACAGTATATATTCACAGAATCATAGAAAAATAATTCAAAATTTGACAAATTAAAACTAAAATTTGCATGAAACAAAATTGGTACATATACATCAAATAATTGAAATGATTAAAAAAATCCCTAAGAGTTTATGGAGCTAATTTTGTCCTTCAAAAATGTATGATAGAAATATGCACACCATTCCTTTTGTACTGCTCAATTCTAAGGTCTGGAAAGATAGCAAAGTGAGATTTAGAAAAATACTGCAAACATAGATTGAAAATAATAACAAAAGTTAAATATCAAATTAGATAAATAATGACAATACATTATTCTTTCATATAAACATAGCCATAATGCAAAAATGGTTCTTACGTTAACTGGAATAGTAGTTTGTCCATGCCAACTAAACTGCTTTGCAGTTTCAGGATTGTGGAAAAACCTTCTCAACCTTGGTATAATTGGAAAATACCACATAACCTTAGCTGGTGTAGATTTTTTCTTGACATATCATGATGTCTTACACTTTGGACATTCTGTAAACGATTCATACTCGTTTCGAAACAAAATACAGTCATTAGGACATGCATAAATCTTTTCATGAGTTAAACCAATGGAACTAAGGATTTGCTTTGCATCATATGTTCTCCTAGGTAGGACATTGTCTTCTGGTAGCATGTCATTTATTAAGCTTAACAGATCAGTAAAACCCTTGTCACTCCATCCATGTGAGACTTTTAAATTGTAGAGCTTCAAAATGACACTTAGTCTTGTGAAATTTGGGCATCCTGAGTACAATGGTATTTCTACATCATCTTTCAATCGCTCAAACATCCTTGGACAATCTCTAAGATCTTCTTCAATAACATTGGGGATGTCTTCAACATGATCATTTTCCTCAGAATTTAATGTCTCCAAGTAAAAGCTATTTACATCCACCCTAAGTGACGAAATATCTCTTTCTATCTCACCATGTTTGGTCCAGTTTATATATTTATCATCAATTCTATTACACATTAGATGTTCTTCCAACTCTTCAACATTTACTCACATCATATTCAAACAACACCAACAAGGGCAATAAATGAGGTTTCGATCATGACTATGGTCAATTGCAAATTGAATATACTCCTTCACTCCATCTTCATATACTTTGCTCAAACGACCGACTTTCATCCAACTTCGATCCATATTTGCCTGAGGCACACTAAATTTGTTACGTCCATATGTTGTCTACTATTTTTGTCTCACAGGGTATGACCCTATCCCATTTGAGAATAAAGTTTTCCATGTCATAATTATCATTTGTTAATTAAACATTATACTGTATACTTAATAAAATTTCAGCAGCATTTCACATCAGTCTCTTAATCCACAACTTGAATTTGGTAAAATTAACCTCATTCAACCATGTACCAAGAGACAATGACACGAATAACAAATCAAAATTTTACCAACTATAACAAATAATATTTTAATCAACTACCTAGATAATTATTGGCCAAGGAAATTTTTTTTCCCAAACTGTCCAAATTAGGACAATTTGAGTTTCAAAATAATGATCCTAAATCATTATTTAGAGACTCAAATGGGAAACTAAAGGTTCACTCAAGTTCATATATAATGATATCATTTAACAAGCACCTAAAATTACTAAAACTATAAGCAAAAACATCATACATAATCTCTAATACAAAATATTTCAGGGTCACACTAAACCATGTATATATCCTAGTTAGCCTATATTTTATTTCAAAACACAATTTCAGGATCACAATGTAGGCAAAAATAAACAATTCAGACTAAACTAAGATATTAATCAATCAAAATACTAATTTTAAATTGTAATTTCTAATTCACACTCACCCTAAAATTTAACTAAATGTATCAGAATCAAAATAGGGGTGCAAATTGTATCCAATATCACATTAATTCAAATAATTATACTATAATAAATCAAATAAAAGCCTAAAAAATATATAATGCACTAACATGTTGTAGACCTCCCAATAAGCGCATCCTACAACAACAATGGCCAATGGAGACTGGAACGCGAACTTGACGACACACAAATATGCTTCAATGGAGTTGTAATACCCAACTGAGTAGTGAGAGCAAGAGAATGAGAGAGATTGAAGACACAAAGGGAAATGGAGAGAACCCAGAACAAGTGGGAGAGCACAAAGTGAGCAAGAAGGAGAGAACGTACCTTTAGTTTAATGGAAGACGCAGAGAGCGAGAAAGAGAGCGCAAAGAGCGGCAAAAAGCGCAAAAACAGAGAGCGCGAGATTGAAGAAAGAAGGTTTAGGGTTTTAAAAAATATGACTTTAGATAGCGGTTCGCCAAATAACCGCTATCTAAACTACACTTATTATAGCAATTTTACGTGTCAACAGCTCTTTAAAGGTATGATATTAGATAGTGGTTATCACACAACCGCTATTATAAATTACTTTAGAAAGCAGTTCTTTCTGAATCGCTATTAAAACATATTTTAGAGAGCATTTTATTCATAATCGCTATCTAATATGTATTTTTAAAAGCGATTTTTGTTAACTGCTATCTAAAGTGTCATCATGAAAGTCTCTTTCTATTGTAGTGTTTGTTGTTTTTTCTTTAAATTTTAAAATTGTTTTGTTTTTATTTACAACCAAAACCTACATACAAAATATGGACAAAACATAACCCAAATAATCTATAATACAACTAAATTATGTTTAAATGCTAAACTACATAATTATTTAACTAAATTATCCAAAATTTAAAATATCAACTAATGATTCAACTATCCTAGAAGCTAAACTATATATAAACACTAACGATATATTCTGAATAAAAAACCTTGATCATTAATCTTTTATCTGTGTCATCATCTTCGGACGAAGATGAATTTTGAAAGACTTGAAACATTAGTTTGACTCTTGTTAACATGCAATACTCATAAAAGTAAATCAACTTAAATAAATGTTTAAATGAATTGCCTTCATCCAAGAATTAATAATATCCACACAAACTATGACTTTCATTTAATACATGATGTAGTAACCATATTCATATGAGTTTAGTTGTCTATTACACTAAAATGAAAAACAAATCACAATATCATTTCCAAAGTTTATAAATACAATAATTATAGCCTACATTAAATAATTTCCTAACCTTAGGGTAAATGAGTTGTAAATTCTTTATTCTACCTCTTCTACTTAAAATATTACTTCTATACATGATTATAATTGAAATAAAGAGAGATATTAGTCTCTCTCTCTCTCTCTCTCTATATATATATATATATATATATATTTATACTTTTAAAACATAATGAAAAAAAGAAAGATAAAGTTACCCTTTTAATAGGTTTTTCATTTCTTGATTGGATTTTCGGTGCTACAAACGAGAATCACACCACGAGTGTAATATATGAGAATGATTAGAACTAAATACCAATGAGATCTACAATGTGTAACGAACAAATTAGTTATAAAATTAACACGATTAAAAAAACAAATTAAAAAATTAACCCTTCAATATATGGAGCCAAGTATATATACCTTTGTAAGTTACTCATCCATATTTGCATATATTGCTAGATTTAGACCTTTGTGTTCCCATATTTTTAGATGGATTGGGATTCAAGAAATCCATATACTTCTAATTTCGTTTGCTCCACACTTAACTTTCCATGTACCTAACACAATGATTTATAAGTTGAATGTACTTATTGTAATGT